CCTTAATAGTTATAGGGCTATTCAACTATCTGTTTCATAGTAGGTAAGATGTAGTAGTTTGTTGAGTTTGTTTTCTTGTCTATTTCATCAAATTTATCATATTTATGTATTATTCCTTTGATGCCTGTAGGATCTGTAGTTATATCTTGTTCTGTTCCTGATATCGGTCATTTATGCCTTCTCTCTTTGCTTGTCAGTTGCCAGAAATTTGTCAAGTTTACTAATTAAAAAAAAAAATAGCTTCTTTTCTTGATTTTCCCTTTGTTTTCTTGTTTTCAAGTTCACTGACTTCTGCTCTTACCTTTATTATTTCCTTCTATTTGCTTTGGATTTATTTTGCTTTGGGTACTGAGGTGTGAGCTAAGATTACTGATTTGAGACTTTTCCTTTTTTCTAATGTATGCATTTAATGCTATAAATTTCCCTCTCTGCATTACCTGTTTCCTACAAAATCTAATATGTTGTATTTTCATTTTCATTCATTCAATGTATTTTAAATTTCTTTTGAGAGTTGACACACATTATTTAGAAGTATACTGTCTAATTTCCAAGTCTCTGGAGATTTTTCCAATTACCTATTATTGATAACTGGTACCAACAGAACTGAAAGGAGAAATATACAAATCCACAATCACAGTTGGAGACTTGTCTTTGATTTCTAGTTAAATTCCTTTACCTACTGTAATTCCATTGCTTCTATTGGTTTTGCTTCACATATCTTGCACTCTATTCTTTGGTGTAAACAAATTTAGGATTGATATGCCTTCCTGGTAGATTCTCCTTACATTATTATATGACGTCCCACTGTCCTTGGCAATTTTCTTTGCTCTTAAGTCTACTTTACATGTTATTAATAGTGTCGCTCCTACTTTCTTTTGATTCATGTTTGTATATCTTTTTCCATCATTTTATTTCCAACTTGTCTGTACTGTTATATTTGAATTAAGTTTCTTGTGGACACCATATAGCTGTGTTGTTTTCTAATCTTCTCTGCCAATCTCTCTTTTGATTGGCATAGTTAAATCATTTACATTTCATGGAATTACTGCTACATAAGGTCTTAAGTCTGCCATTTTATTTTTGTTTGCTGTTTTTTGTTTTTCCCCTGCCTATTTGAGAGTTAATAGAACTTTTTTTTAGAATTCTATGTTGATTTATCTATTATTTTTTAGTGTATCTCTTTGTATATTTAGTAGTTGCTCCAGAGATTGCATTTTTTATATACACACACACACACACACACACACACACACACAACTTGTCACAGTCTTCTAGAGTTGTCATTGTACTCAGTTAGGTGAGGTGCAGAAAGCGTACCTCCCTTGATGTCCCTTTCTCCTCCACGCTTTATAGTATTTCCTGTATGTGCACTGAGAAAAACATCAGATATTACAATTTTGCTTAAATTGTCAAACATAATTTACAAACTCAAAAATCTTAAGAAAAAAGTCTATCATAATTATCCAAACTTTTGGTTAACAGGGTTCCTTCCTCTGTAAGATTCTTTGATCATTTCATTTCTGGTAGATAACTGCCTTTAGCCATTCTTTTTTGATAGATCTGCTATCAATAAATATTTAGTTTTCTTTTATTTGAGAATATCTTGATTTCCTTTTATTCCTGAAAGATATTTTTGCTGGTTCTAGCATTCTGGGCTGAAAGTTCTCTTTCAGCTCTTGAAAGATATTGGGCTATATCCTTCTGGCCTCCACGGTTTCTGATGAGAATTTTGCTGTCATTTGACTTAGTAAGTTATTGTTTCACAATTTTGTTCTTTGTCTTTAGCTTTGAGAGATTGACTCTGGACAGAAGTATGTCTTGGCATGAATTTATTTGGGTTTAACCTGTTTGGAGTTGGTTTAGCTTCTTGAATCTTCTGCCATATTTGGGAAGTTTTCAGTCATTATTTTGTTAAGTACTTTCTCACAATCATCTTCTATCTTCTCTCTTTCTAGGATTCTGGTAACACGATGTTAGACACATTTTATTATTGTCCCATAGGTCCCTCAGGAACTGTTAATATTTTTTCAACTATTTTCTCTCATAGTTTAGGCTAAGTACTTTCTATAATTTTATCATCCACTTCACTATTTCTTTCTTCTGTCCCCTTCATTCTGCTGCTGATCCCATCCACTGAGTTTATTTCGGTTACAGTACTATCCAGTTCTAAAATTTCTATCTGGTTCTTTTTATCTTGTTTTCTTTTACTGAAACTATTTTTCACTTTCAAGAATGCTCCTAATTGTTTGTTGAGGCATTTTAATGATGGGTGCCTAAAAAATCTTTGTCAGAAAATTTAACATCTCTGTCATCTTGCTCTTGTTATCTATTTATTGACTATCTTCCCCCCGCCCCCCATTCGGCTTGAGATCTTCCTGGTTCTAGGTATGAAGAATGACTTTTTATTGAAACCTGGACATTTTGGATAGTTTTATAAGACTCTGGATCTTGTTTAAACCTATGCTTTAGTGGCTTCCTCTGATACTGCTCCTGGTATCAGAAAAGATGAGTGTGGAAGAACCTCATTACAGCCAGCTAAGGGTGGAAGCAGTGCCCAGATTTTTTTCTGCAACATTTGGCTGTAGTACAATGCTGGTTTTCTGAAAGATTTCTGTCTTGCGAAGCTGCACCTTGCCTGGTTCTTTGGCTAGAGAGTAAGCTTCTCTCTCAACCTCACACCTGTCAGTTTCTCTAGCACTCAATGTGAGATATGAGGCAAAAAGAAAACCGAGGGAAATCTCTGCTGTGTCGTTCCTCAGGTCCCAAGGTCTCTAGCTGGTCAGCCAACTTCTCTCTACTTTTTGGAATCTTGTAATTGTTTTATAAACAATGTTTACAGTTTTAGTTGTACTTAGCAGGAGGAATAGGTAAGAGTTAAGTCTATTCCATCTTCTCAGATGCATAAGTACTTTGGTTATTATTTCCATGTTCAATCAGTTCCTAAGTTGTGTAAAGAGATTCAAGATTCAGTTCACCCTTTTTAGATCTTAAAGTGGTCTTCCACCTTCTTAAAATAGTTTATCATGAAACAGTTTTGGTTTTTAGGTAAAATCTCATGGATGATTACATTATGTTATACCTGTCTATGAATCCTTTAAAAATAGAATTTAAAAAGATTATTCCTTAAATCCTTGGCTTCTGAGAGACACATTTCCATGATTAAATAAAGTGCTGTTCTCTCATAAGTATCGGATATTCATGCCCAGATCAAATTTAAATGATTACTTTTATTATTAATCATGGATACAGAATGGTTATAATAAGTGATGACAAAATGTTAATGGAATAAACAGGTTTCCCTCAATATCTGAAAGTAGCGTGTTCCTGTGAAACCTTTCCTAAGAAGAAATGGTGGAGAGCAAAGAGTATCCTCTGCTTTCTGAAAGTAGACGTTACGCCACTAAACCAAAGGCCTGTACTAGTATTAACAGCTTTTTTTTTTTTTTTTGGTAAAAGCGAGAATCCTCTTTGGATTTCTTTGGCTAGTGAAAATAGGTATTAATGTAAAGGCAAAGTGGCCTAAAGTGAACTTTTGAAAAGTGGGAGATATTGGTATTTCATTTAAATGTTCAGCCAAATGACATTAATTTGCTACTTACAAATAAATGCTTCCTAATACCATAAATGAACACAAAGGCATTAGAGACAGAACTAGAAATCTATGATTACTTTCCAATAGTTGACGCCTTGTCATCTGACTACAAAGCATGGTTCTTTATTAAAATGCAAACAATTTTTGCTTTATGATTCTCAAAATCAGCCAAAAAATCCACTGTTAATAATCAGTAAGGATATGTTTCAGATATCCTGAAACCTCCCACAACATGTTGGCCCTTATGGTTTCAAATACAACACCTCTAATAAGGAGTCCTTTGGCTTACATGTCTATTTTAAGTTGAACAAAGGGACGCAACATATTTCTCTCTGGGTATGCTGTGTGGAATGGAACATTACTCTTGCACGTTATCAAGTAATTACTGGCTACAACAGTTAAAACATTAGTTGATGCCTACAGGAAATGCATTAAGGACAATCCGAGAGCACCTCAACTAGTACAGATAAGTATACCACCTTACCTAAGAAAAAATTCTTCAGTAAAAACACCAGTGCTGTTCAATTACTGTACTCAATTTCTGGGTTCAAGCGGGTAATAAGAAAAACTCCAAGTACCATTCTTCATAAATATTTACTCACTGTCTACTATGCCAAAGGCACAGTGCTAGGCTAGTTGCTGCCTACAACCTCATCTTCTGCTTTCCTTAGAACAATGAGATTCTTCAATCATTTGTTTTCTAGAATCCCTTTCTGTAGCTGCTCTTAAGATTCTTACCATTCTAGATGGTGTCACTACAGCATTACTCTGGGCAAACTACTTATTTTAAGCTTCATTTCTGCGTTTTATAAAATGTAGCAACACATTTACCTTGGAGAGGATTAAGTGCTTACTCATCTATGTACAGCATATAAATACCATATCTAAACAAATATAGCACAAAAAAAAAAACCAATGTGTTCAGAAAATTTCCATTAGTTCAAGTTAATCGATGAAAATAACTGAGATACTGCAAATTTTATGTACTAAAGGTGGCAGAATTCCCATGCTCTGTATAATGTTACACAGCAATAATGTAATACTTTCCCTATTTAAGCAGAAGTGGCTACAAATAGCTACAAATGTTTAATCTCTAGACTAAACATTTCAATTTTCATTAGGGTCCTTTTCCTCTCATGCAACATAAAAAAGACTCAAGGAAAATACATACGAAAATGTGTTAAAGCATTTTGGTTTCAAGAGAAGGCTCAGAATATAATTTGAGTCTGATATAAAATGAATGTTACAAGGCATTCGAACAGAAGGAACTTTCCTACTTTATGGTATTCAAAGATGATCAGTGATTAAAAAGGTTATGGAAGATACACCAATAAATGAATATTAAGGTATAAAAAATAATTCTATTAAGTAAAAAGATGATAAACATTGAAAAGGTTCTCTTATTTACCTCTTCTACATTGGAAGCAGTCTTAGCGGAAGTTTCCATGAAGATAAGTCCATGTTCTCGTGCAAAAGCTTCACCTTCTTCTTTTTTTACTTCTCTTCTAGATTCTAAGTCACTAAACAGGAAGAAAGGGCCATGTTATTAACCAACACAAGACAAACAGAGGCACCTGTAGAAAATGTACCATGAGATTCAAAGTTGTACTGACCATTCTTTTAACACATAATAATCAACTGCATTATGGTGGGTATTATGAGGGTCAAAGTGTTTAGAACACACCGCTTAGAACTAATAATCCAACACAAGAAAAATAGAGTTACAGTCTTAGAATGCTAAAACTAGGAAAAACCTAATGGGAACATCTAGCCTGACACCCTGCCTTTGAGTAGAGTGAAGTCCCAAAGAAAATAATTTTACTCAAATAATTTTAGAGAGAACTACAGAAGTATTCTCATCCTTTAGCCAGACTGATGTCTATGAATATGATTAAAAAATAAGTCACGCGATTCTCAGAAGCTATAGGAAATAGCTTAATAAAATCCAAATTACACACAAAAAAATATTAGATTATTAAACCCAGTTAGTTTAATTCCCAGCAAAACTGTTAACAGAAAGAGAAACAAAAGTCTAAGATAGAAATTTTAGATGAAAGCATAGTGTTCATTTTTATCATACTGGAATTGTACTAGTAAGGTGTGTGGTAGAGGGGGGAAGTAACAGTCTTCTTCAAGTGTGTTTTATTGTAAAAATTTTAAAACTTTACTATAAAATATTTTAAGCACACAGAAAAGGATGGAGAATATCCATGTAGTGCCATCCAGCCTTAACACATATATTTTATTTTGACAGATTTATATCAGATTATTTTTCTGTTGAGAAATAAAATCAGTAGTTACAGTTGAATTGCTTCCTGTATGGCTGTTCATGATCTCATTCTCTTCCCCCTTATCTAAAGGTAACTATCACTCTGTATTTGGTGTTTTCCTCCTCATTAGTTTTTATGTTTATACTCACGTTTACAGCCACAGAAGGGTTTTTTTGGGCATGTTTTTAAAAAATTCACATGTAGCTATCATCTTACAACTTGTTAATTTTGGTCACCATTATGGTTTTTGGATTTACCCACATAATGTATATAGATCTAGTCTCTTAATTTTTTTATTGCTGTATTATATTTTATTGAATGAATGTAACACAATTTTTAATTCTCCATTTGAGTTATTTGCAATTTTTAATTATTACAATGTTACAATGAAAATTTTAAACATTTAGTGTACATGTAGTATTTTTCAAACTGAGACGTGACCCAGTGAATTGTAAAACTACTTTAGTAAGTCATACTCGGAATTTAAAAAAAGAAAATGTCAGTGTGTATTTCCCACTGTTTCATGGAATTTCTTTTTATGTAGGTATGTACATAATTTTATGTACAACGTCATGATAGAAAGTGTATTTACAGCAAATCAAAAAGCTCAAGTCACTGCTATTGAATATATATTTAGTATATAGCTGCTTTCCAAAACGATTGTATACTTTATGCTCTTAGCAGCAATGTTTGAAAGTTCGTTGCATCACATCCTCATCAACGTGTGGTAAGATCATACTTGTTCATATTTGCCAATCTGATGAATGTAAATAGTACCGCACATTTATGCTAATTTGACTTTAGCTGAGTTTCATAAATGCTAATTAACATCCTCATTAAATTAGGAAATAAACAAAAATCTAAAAAGAGAAAGACATCCATTCAGTCAACAAATATTTGCTGAAGGTCTCTTATAAGCCAGGAATTTTAGTAGGTGCTCAGGATATATTAATGAACAAGAACAAAAAAGTATACATATATACAGTTGACCCTTGAACAATGCAGTGGTTGTGGTACTGACCATCCCCCTGCACTTGAAGAGGCACGTATAACTTCTGACGCCCCCAAACCTTAACTACCCTCAGTATCCACAGGAGACTGGTCCCATGACTCTCATGGACACCAAAATCTGCGGATACTCAAATCCCCTATATAAAATGGCATAAATTAATGCACACAGTTGGGCCCTCCATATCTGTGGACTCCCAATCAAGGATTGAAACAAGTATTTACTGAAAACAGTCCCTGTATAAGCGGACCTGCACAGCTCAAACCTGTGTTGTTCAAGGGCCAACTGTATTCTAGAATGGAACAGAGAGACAATATTAAATGAATCTAGTTTTTCTACCCAAAAGTGACTGTTTTACATATATTCATAATCATGCTATGTCTGCAATTTTGTATCCTAATTTTTTTCACTTACTATCTAGGTCATTACGTCTTTTCAATAAATATCATTTTAATGACTAATTAACAGTATCCCATCAAGTAGATACAGCATAATTCATTTAACTATTTCCTTACTGTTGGATGATCAGAGTAACATAGTATGAATCAGGTACTATGTGAAGTGTTTTACATGCGGATTTTTCATTTAATTCACTTGACAGATGAGGAAACGGAGGGACAAAGGAATAAAGTAAAGCATTTGAGCTCACAGTCCAGGAAGAGTAAGCAGAATGATTCCAACCAGACCGCTGTGCTATGCTGTACCATTAAAACATTTTTTAATGACTACTTTTTAAAATAATTGATTATACTGAAGAACTTTTTGTCAAATATATAAAAATATAAGGAAAAAAATCTACTCATAATTTCACTTTCCACAAGTAATTAACATCTTGGTGAACATAATAGTTCTATATAACTCATTATTTTTACTGTCTGTTTCTTCCCTACCACACTGGATATTAGCCAAAAGATGGAAAAGTGATGTTTCTTCTCTATCAGAATATATTCATACCCACTAGTCATTGTAATTTGCTTTTTTTTTTCATTTACTATATTGTGGATCATTTTCCCAAGTCATTTTTGTAGTCTTTTACAATATTATTTTTATTGTGTATAAAGTAAAGAATGGTAATATTTTATGGAAACAAAATTACACAAATTAGGGATATTACCCCAAAAAAAGATATTAAAGTCTCATCCACCTAATGTTAAGTAATGTCAATGTTTCAACTTTACAAAATTGAGCAGGAATTTTGTAACTTAAAGTTGGCTAACTGGATAAGCTGTCAACTGTTTACAAAGTTGCCATATAAGTCATTATCGGTCACTGTTGTTTGTGACTGAAACCATGAATAATTCTGGTGACTATCTTGTAAACTTCAAAGTTGTTATACTTTAGAAATATTTTACCACTTAAAAATGCCATCTAAAAATTTATTCAATGGAACAGGTGCTGAAAAAATACTCCTAAAAGTCTGAAATGTTGAAAAGAAAGTCTGATATAAAACACTATAAAGGGAACAGTAAGTATATGCCATGCTATTAATTTAGGTAACTGTGCTATAAAATATTAGTGGTAAGATGAAAACACAAAAAGCAGGCAAACTAAGTTTGTAAATATCATAGTATAATCAGGCAAGGATAACTTATCCAATTATCATCTAAGGGCCTCCAGGGCCTAAATAAGCTCCTTCATGGATCTGGGGACAGACCACTCAACAAAACAGACAAAAATCCATAAGCTCCTGGCCTCATGGAGTTTACATTCTAGTAAGAATTAAAAGGGTGATGGCGGCAAATGGCGGGGGGGAGAGGGCGGGCTGAACTAGCAACAGTGATGCTGTAACATTCTCCTGGAATTCAGCCCCTGTATCTGACAATCACTCAAGAGAAAATACGCTTTGAATTACAAAGAATATATCTTCCCTTAACTACCCTTTCCCCCATTTTATGCATATGCCATATTTATATAAATAATCTCTTATTTGGGGATATTTAAAATTATTCCCAGTTTTCCACTACCAGTATCTGATTATGTTTGTATTTGTAAATGTTATCTTAGCAAAGAGGGGTAAGAACTTGGATGTTTGAGGGATCGTTAAAAGAAAGGGAAGTGACACTTTACTATTCATGATCTTTGTTTTATCACTCTACTTTGGTTATTTCCTTAGTTTTCCATGCATAAAATCATGTTGTCTTTGACTTTTCACCCCTATCGATCCCATTTAAATTGCTTTCATTACTTAAATCTTTCTTTCCTAAATCATACTTACTACTATGCTACCTTTTTGTTTAAGGTTTGTATGATAATCCTTTAACTATTAAAACTTTCATCTTTGCAGATTTTGCTTCCTATTTCTTGTATAAAGAATTTTAAATGCCACAGTAAAAAAAAAAAATCCGTGTCATCTGTCACTCTGACTAGGTCACTGCTATTCTCAAATCCCTTCACTGGCTCCCTAGTGTTTAATGTATCTAATTCAAAACTCGCTTATTCTCTATTTCCATGTCTACCCCAATTTGCCTCATCTAATGAAAATCATCTCATTTATCTCTGTTCATTCCCATTCATTCTTTGCATGTCATACATTCTTTTTGCCTTTCTTCTAGCTTCTTCCTTAAGATGTCTTCCAACAGCTACTATACTCCTAACTGTAAGGGCCACCCATCCACAATCACTAGAAATACCTCTTGTATATATTGTACTTTCCTTTTCCTTTTCATATTTAGACTATAAGCTCCTCATGGGCAGCAGCCAAATTTAAGCCACCAGTAAGCTGCCACCCACCATGATTCAGACACAAAGAAAACACTGCTAAGATAAAGGTGTGAAAATTCTTTCTTCTCCAAATATTCTCTTCTTAGTACTGCAAACATTACCGTTGAATGATAGGGTAAATACTTCCATATTACAAGACTAAAGGTTCCTTCCAATACTTAATCTTTCTTAAATAATTTAGTGAGGTGATTTGAGGAAAAGATAACCAGGAAAGGCCTTGACTGAAAGCCAAGATAATACATACTTTTAGTTACAAAGTTATTGAAAGTTAGCCTTTTACAATGAAAATATTACTTAAGTAAATATTTTCTTGTAACGGCAAATCTAGATTTCTATTAAAACAATACTTTCTAAAATCAAATCTATACAGTTTAATGTTATTTGCCATTTTACTTTTTCTACAGCATTAAACTGACATAAAAATACTGCATATTTATTTTAATGTAAAGTTTGATGAGTTTGGCATATGTATGTCTTTTTGATGAGTATAGTACATGTAAAGTCAACAGGCTTCCCAAAG